CGTATGCAAGAAACCAAAACCCTTAGGAACAGGGGTTGACACACACACACACGCCCACTTTACACGCTTCCCCCTGGCCTGGGTCAATTCCCCACTTGGCATCCACTGCACGCGCTTCAAGGGGCCCTGGACCTCGCTGCATAGGAAAAGTGAAAACGGAGGTTCGGCTGGTCGGATGGACTTCGGTAGACCCGAAATGACATGGTTTTGCATAGGTTTTAGCTCTCTCTCTCTCTCTCTCTCTCTTCGTAACTCATGCTACACTCAGTGGCCCTGTCCGAAAACGATGGACAAAGTAAAAAAAACGATCCCACTGCCCATAGGACGTTGAATCTAAACCCTTGAAAAAAACCGCTGACAAGCCCCGACGGACCCGAAGGCTCCACGATGTTCTCGCATCCAAGTCACCAGCTCTGCGGTGAGTCTCTGGCCCTTCACAAGTTGCCTCGGCGTCACGGTCCCGTCGTCCAAAACAAACAGTGTTTGCGCGACTCTGACGGCGTTGGCGTGAACAAAAGGACCCTAAAATTGTATGGACCCGGCCTCGCAAATTAAACATGTTTTTGGTGTTGAACGCAGTTTTTTCAAAGTGCAAGCCACGGAAAAGACTAACAATCAACACTGTCCCAAAGCCATTCCACACGCAGAAAAACGAAATCATGAAATCCATTTCGTTTGGGAAATTCTGCATGGCACAGGGTCAGCTGGGGCGCCCACTGGTTCAGTTTCTCCATGGCTTTCGCTGCGGAGTCTTTGGACGGAAACCTCACCGATCGGATCGTTCGAGTTTCCGCGGCTTCACGAAGAGACGAGCAAGAGCATGCTTTTGCACAATAACCCCGTGTACCTGTTTAAAACAACGGACCCCTACTTTAAAAACATCATGTCGGACACCCCTAAATACGGTCTGCCGCCCTTTCAAGCCGCTACTGAACTACCAACATTGCCGACTTTGGAGGAGTTTTCTTCATTAGGTTCCAAAAACAACCGTGACTGCCCACCTCTGTCCGCCCTGTCTATCCACCAGCAGGCTTTCCTTCCCCCAATGGCACGGACTCACGCAAACGCACTTGCCATCGAGGTCATGCAAAACCGCATGGCACAGACATCACCTTTCGAAAGTTTTAGCTGTTAGTCTACTGAAGAATCAAGGTTTTTGTAGGGGAAAGGAAGACCCTTTCGATCTGGATGTTTTTTGAATTTTTGATACGAGTTCAATAAGCTAGGATTTTATATAAAATTTTCCTGGATTACTTTTTGGTTTTGAAGGTCTTTCCAGGTGACCCTATTTTCGGATTTCAGGGACCTATTTTAAAAATGCAACCGAGGTTTTCTTATTGGGGGGGGGCGTGCCTTTTAATAGGTGGATGGGATTATCTCCTAACCACGCTTCAAAAGGGCTGCCTCGCCACTGGCTGTGGCTGGGTAGCACAAGGGGAGTACCAGCGCTGGCCTGTTGTCCCAGGGCCAGGGGCGCCTGGTGGACCTGGTCAGGGGTTCTCCTCAGAGGTAAGTGGACCAGAGTGGTGCCAGACAGGGCGTCCCATCTCGTAGAAAAGATTCCAGGTCTCCCCGTTTCTCTCCATCGTTGATGAAGGTTGCTGGTAGGGGGCCGCTCTAGCATGCTTGCACGTCAGCAGGCTGTGGCCTGCAGGGGCCAGGGGGGCAAAGCACCCTGCACACATGTCGGTGTAATTCGTGTAGCCTGACCGCTACTCCCTCCTGGTCAGCTTCCAGATCTCCTCCTGCTGAGCCATGGCGAAGTTCCAGGCCCTCTATGGTCTCTGTGAGGCTGTTGAGCTGTTGCTGAAGATCCAAGCTCTCGACCACACGCGGTTCGCCAAAGGTGGCCTCGGCAGCCTCGACTTCATCTGCTCGCAGCTTCATGGAGGTGTTCTTGTTTCTGTTCAAAGTGTCCATGTCGAGGCACTCAACCGTTTTTCCAGGTCGATGTCCGTCTGCACGTGGGTGCCCTCGCAGTAGCCACCATGATGCCTTCGTCTAGCTAGCTGCAGGCTTTTTCAAAAAAAAAAGATATGTTGTGCTGACTGCACAGCCTCACACTCGAGCCAAAATGTCCTGGTGGGATGTTTTGGTGGCTTTTGTGAACATAAAACTTGCACACGCAAGCTACATGATGCAAGTTAGAATCAGAGCAACTTTCATCATGTGAATCAGCTTGATCATCAATGCCGGAATCAGATTGCTAAAGCGTGAAAAGCAAAACTGCAACACCTGACGCTTGACATCTGTCAGCAAAAAAGACGTGTCTGAGAAAGTCGCTTGGGGCCTGAAGACATGCAAAGGCCGGAAGACACGTGATGGCACGTGTGTATTTTTCGCATGGTGTCCGTGACCATCGGTGCAAAACCTCAAACGCCTTGCAGCTTGGCCACTGAAGAAAACCCGAGCGGCCTGCCACGTTCCGACGCTTCTCGGAACGACGACTTCTCGATGTTTCCGCAACGTGCCGGTGACAGGGCCCCGCCGTCCAACGCGTCCTACGTGTGGTGCGTCAACCACGGCGTCCGCTGTCTCTTAACTCGACGGTGAAAGGCGTCCATAAGACAAAGCCGGTGAAAGGGAGAGCATGGAGGAAAGTTAGACTGAAATAGGGTATATATAGCATATAAATGCATATAAATATATGCTCGAGACACAACTCGAGTAATATGACCAAACAAAGTATTCTCCCCCCCCAAAGACACCAAATTCATCAAACCCCAACCCAAAGGGTCGCCCAATCACCTTGCACCTCCGCCATCGCCGACACACACGGACTCTCTTCGCCATCGCGACACACACGCGCTCGCGCCTGCGGAGGCTTCTTCGGGGCGCTGCCGGGGGAACTCCACTTGGGTTGGCAGAACCAGGTCTCCGCCTTTGAGGAGCTCCAGCCTCGGTGGGGATGAAGCTACGAACGTAGCTAGAAGCTAGGTTGGAGGTCATCGCTATTAGGTTGGAGGCCACTACTACTAGTAACAAGAAGCTACTTTATAGTAAGTTAAATTTCCGGGACGCCAAATTTTCGGGGCTTCTTCTCTCGTCCCGGTGGCCTGGGTATGATGGGGGTCATGGGCTGGAGGAAATGGCATCATGTGAGAACCACAGAGAGAACATGTGGAAGACCAAGAGTTTGGTCGGGCTCCAAGTACCTTCTAAGAAGGTGTTTGGGGTGGGTTTAGAGGGTCCAAATACCTTCTGAGGAGGTACGACTGGAGCCCTAGGGAGGTTGATAGTTGATGGGGTCCCCGCAGGCCTTGCAAAGTCCCAGACTCTGAAGGGGTGAAGACACACTGAGCTGCAGCTTTGGGACCGGAAGACCTCTAAGTTCAGCCCATGCTCCATCACCTCTTGGTATACTGATTCGCACCCAGGTAGAGATCCAAACATATCAACCCCAAAATCAAGATCTCTTACAGCTTCAATGCCACAGGGCCCCCCCCCTCATCGAGCGCGACACGTTCCACGCGCCGAGCATCAAGTCGCCAGACTGGAGATCCTTGGAGACCTCAGAGATCTTCACCAACCAGCAAGGCGTCCTCGGTCGATACGGGGCTGTCATGACATCGGTCCAATGAGCTATCCCATGAGCTATGGGGTATTACGGTATTCCGATATTCCTATATATATAATTCTCTATATATACCTAGGTGGGCAATTCTTCTGCACACGTAAAACTATATACCTTTCCTTGTTTTGCAATCCAAACACCTTCCAAAACTATGAGTTCTTGGACCAAACGTGGCTCAAACATGCTCAGTCCACACTCCTAACGTCCCGTCCTGGTCCTCTATCACCTGTCCTGCCTGGCGCTTCATCCGAGACACGGTGCTTCCTCCGAATCCAATGCCTGGCGCACCTGCCGTGTGAGGTAGCGCACCTGGAGTGGAGCACGAAGAGAGGACACACCGGCCTTTCACTTTCTGGTATTTTCGTAGAATTGGGGGTGGACCATGAGACAAGAGATATTTGATATGATTTTGATTTTTTTTTTCTGATTTTGACAATTAGGAATATAATCATGCTTTTTGTTGCTTCCATTCAGAGAGGGAGGCTCCGAAGCTTGTCTTTCAAGTTTAGCTCCACAGCTTGCCGACAGGTATCATTCTGTTCCGTGAGATTCTGCAGCATCGAGGGATGCTGAGAGAGAAAGGCCCAAGTCAAGGGATGCTCCTGAAGCCGCTCTTCAGCCATGCAGGCAGCTGGCCACGGAAGTGGAAGTTGCTCTCAGAAACGCAACGCCGCAAAGCAGTTGTAACTGAATTATGAAATTGTTTCCAATTTCAGACACCGATGTTGACCCAATGCGAGACACATACTGTTTCACATCCATCGGTCTTCGTAACCATGTATTGGGATATGTTTAACAAATACGGAATGTGATGACGCACTTGCGGCTCACCCTGTCCATAACGAAGGGAAGCCTTCTGCCCGAAACTTCTCACAATCTCAGATGAAAGGCAGGAAGAAAGCAAAAGAAACATCTCGTGGTACAGTCCATTACTCTTAAATTCTTTACCAGAGGTTCCATTGTCCTCCTTTCTCGTCATTTTTTTCCAACAAATCGTCCTGCAGAAACTGCTCCACCACCGGGGACAATGGCACCACGACCTGCGGAGGCATCACTGGTTGCGGCGGTGCCACGCTCCCCGCGGCCACGCTCTCCGCGCTGTCCGGTGCGACGGTTGGGGTCCTAGCGAAGAGTGGTGAAGACGGGTGAAAGCTTTGAGCAGCGCGGCAGCGAGAACTCACTAACCCAGGGGCTCCAAGTCGTAGATCCTTACGTTTGGTGGGACTGGGGTGGGTGGCTGAGGGTCCAAAGACCTACTGAAGTACTTGGAGCCCTAAGGTAAAGCCAAAAGACTTGCGGGGCAGCTATAAGCGACTGGAAAGCGAAGTTGACATGAAGTGTCAACTGGGTGATAGCAATGAGTGGCAATTGGTGACAGCCATGAAACCTCTAAATGGACCGGCAGTGTTCTAGAAGCCTTCGCCAATTCAACCGGAAAGGTATGCCATTTGACATCCCGTCCAACCAAACAAATGTCACGTTCACGACCGCCACGAAACAAAGAACACACTTTCCTTCGCCGCTTCCGCGTACCGTCGCAACCGCGTAGCGCTCCGTCCTGGGTGCCGAGGTGACCATGATCTGCCCCAGCTCTGCGGGCGTTTGGGGCGCGGCGAGCGGCAGCTGTGCCGCAACGCCGTCATTGGAACCGTCGGGTGGGGTCCTGGCGAAGGCAGGAAGCCCCAAATCGAAGGTTAGTGGCAGTGAGTCAGTGAGTGAAATCCAAATCGAGTTGTTTCACAAAGATGTGCACCCCAAAATCTCAAAAGTACCTTTCAGAAAGGTTTGCGATACTGAACTTCTTCCCCCCAAAGCTCCGCTTTCAGCGTAGCAAGACAGCTAAGGTGGCCATTGAGTGGTACGGTCCATACAAGGAAGAACGAGTTTTGGTTCGAGGCCCTCACTGTGTCGACGCACGTGTGGTCGACGTGGGCAGAGGATGGCAAGGAATGGCCCACCACGGTCCACCAACAAACACTTTCCTTCGCCCACCACGGTACCGTCACAACCGCGTAGCGCTCCGCTCCTGGGTGCCGAGGTGACCATGATCTGCCCCAGCTCTGGGGGCGTTTGGGGCGCGGCGCGCGGCACGTCCTGCGCCAGGCCGCCGCGCAGCTCCACCTGGTGTCGTTGGGTCCGACAGACAGGACGAAGCACACTGAAACCGCTCGGTGTCCGACCTACGGACCCTCTTGGAGTGACCTCTTGGAGTCTGACCTAAAGTCAGCCAGGTCACTTTGAAGGTCCTGGTATATACTTTGAATGGATCAAACCATCGTCCAACTTCTCCCAAGCTTCAGAACATCAGCGGTTTCACAGGTTCTTCTTTCATCGCCGCCGCGTGGAACCCACTGGGCCAGCCCACGGGGGTCATTGGTGCGACCCGCTTCCTGGACTCCATCGTTTCACATGGCCGGTTGACCGAGGTCTGAACCACGCGAGACGGCCGCAGCTGACGGATGAAGACGTGAAAATGGAGACGTCTGAGATGAATTGTCCGTGTTTTGTGCGTTGTGATTGTTTTGTTTCAAGCAATTGGCAATAGGTTCCAGAGGGAAGGATGTTTTAAGACTTAGGCAGCCTAGTCTCTTTTCGACTCTTGTTTCTCCGACGTGGAGCTGGACCAGATCTAGAGGTGTCCTTATGACTCATCATCTGATGCAATGAATTCATGTGAAAGGACTCCAGGACCATGAAAACAATCTAAACCAAAGAACAACATATGATTCAAAAAACATTCAGAAAAACTGGTCAAAAAGGTTTGAGACTCGGTTTGACGGAGTGACCGTGTGCCATGTTCATTCTCTTCAGCAGCCAGTGTGCCACCAGTTTCTCACCCTGTGGATCTTCATGAAACACTTGCAGCTCCAGATCCGGCTCTTGAGCCCAAGGAGGTGTGAAACACAGGCCACAGTCCAAGTCAATCCTGTGATCAACATGTCAAAACCAAACTACCAGAAAGTTTAAATGGATGTAACCCCAGCCCCAGCCACTTCATATATGTAAGATGTCAAAACCACTCTCCACAAAGATCCACAGATCCACCAATGTTTAGGCACCTGAGGATTATAATATCTGGTGAACCGAACGCAAATTATGGTTGATGTTCCTGGCGCGAGCTGGCTGACACAAAAAGCACACAGCACACCTTGCTGTTGGCGCTCCAGGAAGTCCAAAACTCGCAATTTAAAGCCTAGCCTCCAAATCCATGTAGACTGTTTTATCAATAAAAACCCAAATATGGAGTGTGACACTACCATTCTGGTAGGCCTTTTGCGTCACTTTCGTCAACCATTCAAACCCTCTCCCATTCCAGTCGACCCAATACCAACCCGATACCCGCCCCAACCTCACCAGGTGTTCCACATCCACCTCTCCCCCCGCCTCCCCGCGAATCCGTAAGACCTCGGTGCCGGGAATCTCCTTGCCGTTCCGGAAGAACCTCCGTGGGACACGTTCCGCGGTGCGGACGGACGGACCGACGGCGTGGGGGGGGGGGGGCGACCGGTGGGAGAAGGATAGATGGATGAACATGGGTTTGCTGAGGGGCCTTACCTGGGTTTGCTGTATTACCCTTAGGGCCCATTTTTTGTTCCCCCCTGTGCTTTTGGATTTAGGATTTGATGACTGGGAGGTCCCAAAATGGTTCCAAGAGCATTCATATCAAACGTTTCCACCCACGGCCACGCGCAGAATCTTCTGGTCCCACACGGAACGCGCGGAACGCGGAACGCCAGGCCCGCCTGAGGTTGGGGATGGCGCCCTGCCCGAAGGCCACCCCGATGATGTCATCCTCGAGGTCAGTGGATCGTCTAGTCAGGATCGATGCTTCCCTAGGGATCCAGCCGTAGCTCCTCAAAAGGTACGACTGGACCCTCCTGGCACCCACCCCAGTTCCACCTACTCAGCGGGATCCTTAGGGCTCCTTAGGGCTTCTCAAACCCACCACCCACATGCGCCAAATGCGCCGGTCGCTGCCCTGGCCGATCAACGACACCGCCTTCTCCAAAGGTCCACCAGGCAGGTCGCCTCCAATGGCCTAGGAGGTCATTTAATTTGGGCCATTGTGGGGCCGAAAGAAGCTCTACAATGGCCCAGATGCTACAAATGCTCCAATTGCTCTGTGTGCGTGGCGTCTTGACCACGCTTTCTTATATAGTCATGGTGTTATGCGCATGGGACCAGATTACTGCCAGGAGGCGGCCTTTCCTGTTGCATGAGCTGCTGTAATTAGTAATTCAGAACGGTCACAGGCAATTGCTTTCGGCTGAAAAAAAAAATGATGTTATGCATGTTTTGTGGAAGCTATTTCAATTGCTAGGTTCTTTTGTGGAAGCACCTGTCCTTCCAAAAAGGTCACCTTCCAAACCTATCCTGGTTTCTTGTTTCAAGTCGTACCAGCCCGCCGGCTGGTGAACGGTGAGTGGTTCCACCTTTTCACGGCTCGCTGCGTAGTTCACGGCTCCCTGAGCTGGGGAAGATGGAGACCTTCAGCTGCAAAGTCGCTCCCTCCTAACCACCAGTGTTAGTACCCCTCCGTGGCCAGAAACCACCCCCACTACACTGCTTATTGTCGGCTGCGACATCCAGCATCGAACACGCGAGGACACCCAGATGGTCGGATGCTCCATAGATCATATCGAGAACCGCCTTCACTGTCACGCTGTCACTGCCACCCTCGTCCCAAGCCGCTGCAAGACGGTCCATCACCGGTCCATCACCCTCCCACCTATCACCAACCACCTCGCTCTCCCTCCCTCCACCGTCGTCCTATCCGACTCCAAGGCGCCCAAGACGTTTGCGTGTCTCCGATCGTCGACTCCAAGCCTCGCGGCGACGTCACGTCGCCGTCGACTCGTTTTCACGGAAACCCTCCCGTCGACTCCGCGAAGTCCAATGCAACACGTCGAAAACAGGCCGAAGCAGTCGTTCTACCCATAACCTGACTGATGGTTGCCAACGTTCGATTATAGCAGCATAGACCCCATCACCATCCAAAAAACATCATAACAGTCACTGGTTTTATGATGGGTTTGAACAATAAAACCAATAAAACAAACCAAAAACAATTAAAACAAAAAAACATAATAAAACAAACCAAAAAATAAAACAATAAAACCATCAAACCCATCACCACCGGGACCGTACCGGGCGGGACCCGGACGTTGGCCGTTCAACTCCAGAGCCACGCCACAGAAGGCGCGCGAGGAAGTGCCCGGCTCCAGCCTTGGTGGAGCAGAACTGCCCGGTGGAGCTGCGAATCCACGTGGTATTTTGGATTGATTTGTTCTGAAATGCTGCTAGAAGCACATGGAAACTATGGCATCTTAGCCGGAACTCACTTTGAATTCATGTCTGACTTCATGAGAATTTATACAAGTTGGCTGGCGTTGGTTCCGTTGCATCAACCTTAACGAAGTCCACCAGCTAGTTCGAACTATTTTGACATGTCAGCTGCTCCAGCATACCCTCAAGCGTGACACCCAGTGATATGGTATGATATGATGCTGTAACACAGACCGCAGGCACCTAAAGTGGGTGTGTCTCTTTCTGGTTGTGTAGTAAACCGCAAAAGGTCCTAACTCCACCTTGGAGGACCAGGTTTCTTCTTTCCATCTCTCAGGTTCCGATCTGCCACGAACCATGCATCATCATGCACGCTATAATTCTGCCTTCTCTGCCTTCTCGCGATCGCTAGATGTCTCATCTAAGCAGAAAGGTCCCAACACACTCCCTGGAGGTTAGGGACAGCTTTGAATTAATTCGTACACTCCCTGGAAAGCATGGTGACGTGGATGGCAGTTCACCCTCGAGCCCGAAAAACGCATGTGGTCATCCAAAGACCAAAGCAGGTGGTCCAATTCTTAAAGCAATAAGGTAGCTAAGGGGCATCGCTACTAGTAACAAGAAGCTACTAGTAACAAGTGCATCGCTACTAGATCTTCTTCCACGTGAAGTGATCTCTGACCGCGCCATGGCACACGCGGATTTCCCAATAAGCACAATCCTGCTCCACCACGCAGTTGGCCAGCCTTGGAGCTCAAGAACTGCGGTCAAAATTGATCCATCGGACGAAATTGGAGAAAACAAGGTTATATGTAGGATAATTAGACGCTGATGAAACATATCCTATATACACCATGCTAAAGAAAGGAAACAGAACTGTAGTGTCACGGATAAACGGTTCAACATGTTTTTCCATCTGCCACGGAAGGAGATCCTTCTGTGGCTCGTAACCTCCAGTGCCGCCCCGACGCGTTAAGTGGCCCAAGGCACGCCACACCGTGGCCAGTGACCAGAAGTCCAGAGTGGTCAGATGTCACCTGCAGATGTTGTTCACCAACAGGTCGGGGATGGTTGGTCATTTATTACAAGTTTTTTTCTCCTGAGGTCCCAAGCCCATCCTGCCCAGAATTGCTTAAATCAAACAATAATAGCCAATTTATACATGTTGGATCATGTTGGGTTGGAATCCTGTTTGTGGTGAAGCAGAATCGCATCGATCTCTTTGCTTTTCCTGAGAGTCATGACTCATGACTGATTTTTCACCCCGGCCCGGAGGCGCTTGTGGAAAACAAACGACCAGGTAGCGTGGACGACACATGAGCTTTGACCTGTCTTCGACTCAGATCCCCACCGGTCGATCCACTGCGCTTTCTGCAACCGGACGCCCATGGTGATGATCGATCCAAGGAGGATCCGATCGGACCGAGATCTTAGACACCCAGCTGGGCAATGGGGCATTCTGTATGAGCAGGATAGATCTTAGACACCATGGAGACCTTGGAGATCTTAGACACCGAGCTCATGGGGCAATGGGGCATCTTGTCGACTCCAATGGGCCAATTGTAGACGAGGCAAATCGCATAGAACCACCCACCAAGTCCCGGCGGGCCTTCACTTGCCCCCCGCGCTTGCCGATCTGGAGCTTGGGCGGAGGAACCTCATTCGCCCCAACGGGTTGCGGCGGTGCCAGGAGGATCTAAAGTGATCTAAATACGTTTCGGAGCACTGGGAGTCCTATAGAGATAAGTTGTGACTGCAACCCAACAAAATCAGATCGTCCGGAAACATCTCATTTTGGCCTCAAATTGATGTCTGCTGTCCTTCCCGAAAGGTGGCTCTACAGCCAAGAGCCTCTGAGATTGTGACCAGTGGCGCATCTTCATCTTCAGCCTGAAACCGGTGCAGGGTGAAGAAACCCAGTTGTAGGGTAGTATGTTGGCGAATAGTTTTCACACATATATATTATATGTGCGATCGACGGCATTTATTTGGTACTTATAGCCTACTTATAGCTCAAATATACTATCTCTTATGTGGGGGTCCTATCTTGTTTAGACTACTTAATAGCAGGAGGTCATGTCACAGTATCTCGTTCAGCCTACTTTAGTAGCAGATCACATGTTTTCACATCATGATCATTAGCCTCGATTCAGACAGCGAACAAAGCACGCTGAATCGAATTCATCGATGGATTCCGCCAAAGAACACGAAGACCAATCTTGGGCGGTCACATGTTATGCAGTTCTTTCATGGCCAAGTTCATGGCCAACCCAGTCGTGCCAGGTGTCTGACCACAGTCCGAAGCAGCTTTCAACCAGCAAAAAACAAGTTGACGTCCATTTTTCGGAACTTCAATCCTCCCGTGCTGATCTGCAGCTTCTCTGAGTTGCCCCTGCCCTGGGTGGGCAGCAGCAACACAGCGAGCCTCACCGGACGACGCGACGACCGGTCAGACGGAGTCGGGACCGGCTGAAGAGCTCCGATCGAACGAGCCGAAAAGCGATTCTCTTCGTCTGAGGCGAAGACCAGTGTTTTAAGAGTCATAAGTCTTACCTGTCTCTTTAGAAACAATAAGTCAATAGTAGTAATTGACTATTTGAGTCATATAGTAGCAATTGACTCCAATTTGTGCCGATCGATTCACCGTTCTTTTTTTTGGGGGGGGGGCAGGTCGCCTGCTCATATGATTAGCTCTTACTTATTATTGGTCTGCAATAATGACATAATGGTGGTCAAGATGTGGCCATGCCCAAACACTCCATGCCGCATTTGCCCGCATTTGCCATGTTTTTGAGGGGTCACTCTGCAACTCTGCAACTCTCTCCGTGGCCTTGCTCTGTTCGAAAGCCCCCAACTCCCCAGCTCTGCACTCGATGTTTCGTCTCGCTGGCCGCGCCTTGAGCACCCATCACGGTGGCGACCCGGTGCGCGGTGGCCGGTCGCCGCACCGGAAAAACTGGGGGGATCGTGGGTCGTGGGGTCGTGGGGTCGAGGGAGGATTCTGGGGGGAAACATCGGGGAAAAACAGGAAACTGACGGTCATGACCATTTCACAACTGATCTGACGGACCAAACCTTGATCCTTTCACGAATCAAACCTTTCAGTGATCTGCCTGGACAATGGGAACTGGAAAGAGAAGTAAACGTCGATGTCACGGGGCTCAGTACTGGTCGATGTCAGCGTCGGCACTGGGAAGCTCTTCTCACGCGCTTCTCACGCTGGAAAGCTGGAGAGCCGAAACCCACCAATAACGATGCTATGTCACTTCCGAAAGCAGGCTGAATCTCCAACCTCGAAAGCCGAAGCCGAAATCGATAAGCCTCGCCAAAGCCCGTGTGGTCACTCTGAGAAACGTCAAATAGCTGTCGACTGTCTGACGAGCAGACATTGCCGTGTCACCATGTCATCATGCATATCACTGAGAAAGGAAGATGGAGCACATCGGTGCAGAAGTTCTGCAAAGAAAGACTTTGCTGAGATGAGTCAATGACAGTGCAACCAACAGGAGTTCCAAACGACTCGTGAAAAAACGTCGGTCCTGGAAACGCCCACTTAGTAGAAGATTCATGTTCATAGCTTCTATATTGGACCGTTCTTTCTGTCTTTGTTTCTTTCTTTCTTTCTTTCTTTCTATAGTACTTTGTTTTCAATAGCGATGGCCTCCAATAGCACCTCCTTGGGAGCGGCAGAAGCTATTGCGGCCTTTTCTCCTAGCAGCCTTTGGTGAAAGCGCCAGGGAGTCTTTGAGGCTGTACAGCTCGTGTTTGGTTTCTTCACCAGGGTTGTATTCTTTTTGGCCAGGCTTCACGGAAAGACCTTGGGACCTTCTTTGGGTGTTCAAGAAAGGGTTGGTCAGAAAGACAATCTGTCAAACTAAGGGTACAAAAAACTCTAGACTCTACAAAGCACTGAACTCGTGATGTGTCCCACTTTTTCACACCGCCTGCCATCCAAACATCGCTTACAGCCAACCCTGATGAGTACCTGCTGGGCAAAACGTCAGCTTTCCCACATCTAAAGGATTCAACTGCATGCAGAATCCAACCTCATGACCTGGGCGCAGCATGGCGCAGCTAGACTCGCATTTCAACAAAGCTCAACTCAACCATTTGTCTTTTTTCGCACACACCTGGGAATTCGTAGACGGGAATCCAGATTCTGATCCTTACCCAGACACGACCCGTCTGGGACTGCCAGTCCGGACTGCCGCCCCACAGCCAGACCCCCAGTCAACCATCCCAACTGATCGGCAGTCCGTCCCAGACTCGTTGTGTCTGGGAGATCTTTCGGGCTGTCTTCATCCCCCGAGATCCGCCACGCGTGGCGTTCGCGACGAACCGCTGGAAATCTCCGTGCCGGATGTGGTGTCCCCTCGACAGGCGAGTCGACACCCGCCTCAACAAGAGCAAGCCTTGCTGGAGGATTCAGATCCGCCTGTCGCGATTTCGAGGATTCAGAAGGTTGGTCTGAGAGGTTGGTGCTGTGTGTTTAAAGACACATAGCCGTGGGTTTCTTCCTCCCTGTGTTTCTTTCAAGGTTTTCTTAAGACGAAAAGAACTCCGGAGATAGAATTTTGGTTGACTGGAGTCGAACTCGAAATCCTCCTCAGCTCCGTGTCACCTGCAAGGAATCAGGCCAAAAATGGATCTTGTGCGGTTTTCGCGGTAAACCCATGGCCCTACTACGAACGGAGCGATCCCACGCTATCTACGAACGGGGCTCCTGGCCTTACGAACGGAACAAGGTGCGCGACGAACGGGGGTTTTGAGCGGCTTTTGAGCGGCGAAGAAGTCCAGGCCTTCATGGTGCTTGTGAACTCCCATGGCCCATGGCAAACTGTGAACTCGACTTGGACCAGGCAAAGGCGGCTCTATACCCACCGTATTGGGCCCGATCCGAGGTGTTCCCATTCGGAGCCGCCCTTCCTTCTGAAGCTGCACAAGTAGCCCAAACGGATTCCTTCGGTCTTTGGGAGGTGGAAGCCTGTTTGAACCAGCCACTCGTCCCAACAGAAAACGAGTCTCGTCAAAGACCAAACCACCTCCTCTCCACACTCTCCACACGCCGGTAGAGCCAGACCAAACACCTCCTCCTCCTCCACTTCACCCGACCCGACCGCCTTCCAAGCGTTGCGCGCCCGCATGGATGTTCGACGACTGAGGCGCGTCGCTCCGGTGCGGGCAGGCGGTCAGAGCGGGGCCCGCCACTGAACAGACTTCACCGGCGACGTGAAGAGACTCGGTACCGGCGATGTGAAAAATCAGCTCGTCTCTGAAGAGATCAGCGCCTTCGAAAAGATGGCCAGTAGTTCAGTGAAGGAGGGAGAGGGCGCACATGAGTTCCGTACGACCCAGCTTGGGGTGGGTGTTGTCGACCGATCCCGGTTTTGGACCATGCGGTTCGACCTCTTGGGGGCCCACCTGCGAACACCGTCCTAGAGGGTGCTGGTTGACTACGCCGTTGAGAACGAACGCAGTAGGGCCCCTAGCCTTCCAAGACCAAACATCACAAACGGTTCACCTGGTTTTGTGATCTAGAGTCCTAAGTAAAGCAATGATCATCATAGTGCTTGTTTGGCTAAAAGACCACTAAATCAATGGTGGTTGGAAGCTTATAGGGATTCTCTTCCCCAAGACAACCTGCACCATTACCATCCATTATCCATCCTGGAATCTTTCGGCAACCTCAACTACTGGGTGGGTGGTCTAAACATGTCTAAACCCTTCCCGAAAGCATTCGTCAACTGCCATGGGGGTTTAGGGTTCGTCATTCTCCAAGTACTCAGAACGTCTGTCCCACCTGGGAGTCGCCGAGGCGAGTCACTGGACTCTCATAGGGTCGAACAGTCAAAAAGTACACCCACAGGGTCGAACCTGAAAACTGGCCCTTTGGAAGACGATTCTCCTCTACAACATTAATGGTTTTCAAACGTTGTTTTTGCGTTTCAGGGTCCATGTGGGTCTCTTCCAGAGTGTGAAAGCACCCAGCCCAGCTACGCCCCCAGTAGCCCAGCGCAGCCCAGCGCACCATCGTAAGAGGGTCGATCAAACCTAAAATGAGAGAGTTGTGAAGGCGTTCGACAGAACAACACCTGGGACCTGTATCAAACCCATGCAGAACATCTTTTGAATTACCTTCACTGTCTTAACTGCAAATAGTTATATCCATCTTTTTGTTTCTTTTACGACCATCGGAGGGTTCATCAAAAGTAGAGCCCGCTTGCTCGGACGGTGAGACGACCGCTTTGCTGGTCGGTTGGGCGACCGCGGCTGGGGCTTTTTCGGCTGAGGAGAGGGCCATCCTCAATCTTGTTGAGGATCATTCTGGCTACTTTGATGAAGACGTCTTCCACCTCCGCGTTTGTTTGGAAGAATCAACGCGGACGAGCTGGGCGTTTTTCAAAAGAAACATGCCAGAGAAACAGCGCGATCTAGTATTTGTTTGCGATTTTGCAATCTTTTGCCGGAATAGTTTATCTCCATACTCAATCTCAGTTCATCTGCCGCATGGCGCAAAGCTCCAGGGCTTCCGTTTTGGGGCTCCGCACCCCTTCACCAGTCAATGCACTGGTCTCGAGGAAGAGGATGTCTCGGCTTTTTCAAAAAAGTCACGCTGAAGCACCAAAGTCGAAAGCTCATTCGGAGTCTCTACAGAATCTTCCTGCAGCTATTTTTGTTCATGCAGCACATGCATGTGTGTTACTCCAACACCCCAAACAAGCGAGGCAGAATCCACGACGTCCTTCTACAATTCCGCACCAACTCAGGGGCCACACCATTCTCTTGTGCACAGCGGCTCGCTTCTAAGAAGGTCACTTCCTTGGGGCAGATGGCGCAGGTCCGGCTCAACATGGCTGAAGTCCGCTTCTGATCCCGGACTCCAAAGCAAAAAATCGGATCCTGAGTGTTGGCAACAATATCGCACCACCATCTCAGGCAAACAATCGGATTTTCTCAGCAAAGGACCCGAGGGACACGCCCATTCCAGCTTTTGAGCCACCCGGCCCGCTTTTCCTTGAGGTCCACCTTGTTGCCTCGGGAATTGAAACAACGTGGACACATCGTGGCGGTAGCCAACAATACCAAACACCAAACATCGGACCGGGTGGGTCCAAATCATCGACTCTCTGAACTGACCTTCCGAGTTTGAATGTGTGAAGCATCGAGGACCGGTCTCTTTCACAAACCACAGGTCCACTGCCATTGGACAGTTTCCACAACACGTCATGCTGAACATGCTGAAAATGCCGATTTTGGAGATGTCGACGTGAAAACTCCCCCAATGCTTCGTTGTTTCATGCGATTCGCATGGTCAAAACAGCCTGTTGACCAGTTCCAAACGCTTCCAAAGCTTTTAGATTCACCAACCTGGGGCTGCGTGCCCACGGTGATAATTGATATGTCAGCGCGTGCCAGCGTCCTGGACCAGTGATGAAGTCTTCCGATGAGCGGCTTCAACCCGGAGATCCTCTACCAGGACCGTCGGACTGAATAGCCGGAGGTATCGAGCTGATTCGGGGTGTCCCAAAACCACCGGACTTGGAAGGTCCCGGTACATCACAAGTGTTTGGGAAGGTTTGGCACATCGAGAAAGACTGGAGAAACCACTAGTCGCATGTGTCCGGTCGCATGTTTCAGGTATCCAGGAGATCATAAAGAATCCGGTTTCCCAGCCTGGCATCCGCCAACCAATTCACCAAGTGGTTGTAGGAGTCACCTGGGAGCCGCAGAGAAACGCCGGCAAATCTTCTGCGGCCAGTCTCAGGGACTGGAGAACTGCGAAGCAAATGACATTCTGGCGTGGACACTCATGATACAATCTACTTGATGTTTCAATCTATGATATGAATTAAATGCAGCATATACCGGCAACACGATTCACACCCTGATATGTCAAACCAAACATCAACCGTATATACAGCATGTCTTGGCAAAGTGAAATAAAGTGAGCTTTCTCCCACACGTTTCAGGGCGTCGTGTCGCCGCACTTCGCGCAGGCCCCACTGAGCGGTTCGGGCGATTGGTGATGTCGTAAACAATGAGAGCCCCCGCAGCCTCGGTGCCACATCCGCGTCACTCGACCCGTCCGTTTCTGGAAACCGTCGACCGTTTCTCGCGTCACTCCGGCAAAGGTCGAGTGACTCGGCGTCACTCCCTCAACCCCCAACACACCGAAGACTCGGCGGCCCCAGCGCCACGGTAGTAGCTGCGCGTCACCGAGCGGTAGCGCTCCTGGACGAGGGAAGGGTGAGAGTACGTATACCGTTTCTCCATGATGCCGTGATGCCAATAAAATGGTTGAAAGAACACTGGCGTAATGAAGGGAAAGAACAAAAACACCGTCAAACATGCATTTGAGATATCGACGGGATTCACTCTGTTTGGCCACAAGATTTGGCCAATTCCGGATGCAAATGAATCCCCGTCCACAACGGTGAACTCCGCCCCAACTGGGCTGTTTGGCGATTCCCAGGCCCAGCCACTTCAAGGGCCTGTCTTGCCTTGCCGATCAGTTGGGGTGAGTGGTTTAGAGGCTCAATGGATATAGGCATATATATGGCATGAGTGTTTGGGATTGTTTGGGTGTCTGTAAAGTATCTCTGTCATATTGGTTTCCAACTCATTGCTTTTGGACCCTGGGTTTTCCCCAGGCTGATTCTCCTGCCATTCTCCGACCTGCCATGCTGTCCCGTTCCTGACCCGCCGTGTCCCAAATCTGCAACTTGATGTTCCGACCTGGCGCCGGACGTCCACGTCGCGGGAAAGAGACTTGGCGCTGGACGGCCGTTCACGGTGCCATGACACCCAAAAATCAACATGACACCATGTTTCATGACACCGTGATGAAAGAAGGTTCAATTGCTTGTGAAAACATGGAACTTCGACATCTCCCCCCCTCCCCAAGTTCCCAGCCAAGTTAGCCAACTCCCGGAACACGACACTTCACGCCTCCAACGGTAATGACCTTGGATCCAAACCTGCCCAAGACGCGACTCGCGACCGGTCCGGACCTGAGGACATGGTCATGGCGGTGGGTGGCACGGTGGCGGTGGTTCACCACCTTAAACTATAGCTGCAGATTCCTCTAATGAATGGCTGTGGATCTCAATTTGGTCCATGGTTTTGGTATGTTTTGGTTCTTCAGAGAAGAAGCTCTTTGTTTGCACAGTGCTGCTCCGTCCTCCGAGCTTCACTCGGACTGACCTCTATACACCTGTCAGCACTGTGCTTCGATGTCCTTCAGGGAAATCACAAGGCCTCTATACTTCATCGCGCACTCAATAAGTACATCCCTCTCTGATCATCAACTAAAATAACTGGTTTATGCAACAACTACTAAAAGGCCATCTATATCATCGCCGTAGGGATTTCTTTAAAGTGAAGAACACCTCCAACCATGTCCGAACGCGGCCCCGCGTGTCCCTCTGAGCTCCCCTGGCTCCACACCGATCGTGTGAGAGGAGCCCTTCTTAACTCGGCAACCGTCCAACGAGACGGAAGGCGGGAAGAACGCCGGGTCGTTGGACCGCCACGGAGCGAGCCACATGCGTGTGGAATTAGGTTCTATGTGTTTAATTAGGTCCAACTATAGGTTATATATGGTTATATATGGTATATTTTAATAATAGATGTCAAAGCAATTCATAATTCGAACCTGAGGAGTGACCACGGTTTTGGAGGATCAAGTCTCCAAAATACGGTCCTTTTCCTATCAAAAAAGGAGATCATGTTTGGGTAACATGTCTTGACATAGATGTGTCTCACCTGTCTTGGTGAAAGCCATGTTTCTGTGGCCTTTCCTGTTGGAAGTCTAGTTTCACCAAGTCAGTATAGTTTCACATAGTGCTATGGATGTGTATACTTTTCAGATCTGAAAAGTGGTGGGTCTCTTCCGGTCCCCTTCCCAACGTGGAACTCTTTCGGCGTCGCCCTTCTCTCGCCATCACCAGTTCCTCGTGGCCGTGACTCCCAGCGCTCGGTGACCAGTGACCGTTGTCCCAAACAGAAACGGCCACGGCACGACTGGCCGCGTCAGAACAGCGAGGAGTGATTGGAGATGACTGGAGAACACCCCGGGGCGCCCGAACACTTATTGTCAATGAACTGATGAAGCAGGCAGGACCTGAAGGGTTTCGAGACCAAACTTGAAGCATTGATGTGATGTTTGGGCATGTGATGTTTGATGCGTGTTGACATGTTTTCGACCTTGGAGCCTTTGTTGAAGTTGCTATTTTCTATAAAAATCGCATGCACTCGTGTAGCTAAAGTGCGAGAAGTTACATGAACATGACATGCATGACATGCGCGAAGTGCTCGCTCTGAGGCGTCCGCTTGCCCGCACCGGCATCACCTGGTCTACCGGACCGGTTCCGGTTCCGGGTCGATGACGGTACGACCGTGTCCGTCCATTCGGCCGAGGTGCCGATGATGATGAACTTGAACAAGTAGTCGTACTTGTCCTGGAGAACCCAGAAAATACGAATTGATCCGGGATTCTGCTGTAGAATGTATGACTAGGGAGCCAAAGGCTGATCTTTTTTTCAATGTGGAATCTAGTGGACTTGCCCTGTCTTGCCGCTGGCACGGATGATTCTATGAAATAACTTTTGGCACCTTTCACTAGGTTCATCAATACAAGGTAGGGCACCCTACCATGGCAGGGGGGGTGGGAAGGCCTAACCATGACAAGGAAAATGAACAGCCACGATGAAAACGACAAAAACCACGAGAAGGCTTCAGAAGGATCAGCTTTGCCAAGCACCTTCGACGGAACACTCACCACCAAGAAACCAGTTCCAAGATGTTCTAAGTGCCTATCCCATACACTCCATGTGTGGAATATATGCCTGCATTTGAACCCCCAAACCACCACCCCAACTGATCGGCATATAAATGGCAGTCCCATGGAGCGTCTGGGTCTTATACAACACAATAGTAGCCTCCTAAAACCAGCGTGAGCCGCCAAGATTTGCTTGTGGCGAGACCTTGGAGCCATTTCTCGTGAAGACCGTCGTTCTGGTCGTGCTGATGTCAAGCACACGATACCTGATAACAACCACCATATACAGCTGCGAGCTGCCCTGCGCAGATCGGAAGTCTCTGCAAAAGACTGGACAAGTCGCCCAACTTTGCCCATGTCCAGTTTGCACTTGCCAAGTCGCCCATGCTATATGTAAAAAATGATACAAAAAAAAGCTTGCTCTGGATATATCAATGCCTCATACTGTATCTACCACCGACGCATTCACCTGCTCAGGAAGTCGCTTCGGTGATGAAGGAGAAGTTGGACACCTCTAGTCACTGGTCCTTTGGGGTGACATGCACCACTTGATCCAACATCTAGCAGAGCTTTGAACCGAGGCACCCATTTTTTGGACACTGCCAACAAAAGAACACCAACTCCCTCACACAGATCAATGATCCTCATCTCCTTAAGCCTCTGTACATCCTTAGAGCCTTCGGATGGCGCGCACGAAGGACCGCGCAACGGTCTCGTCGACCCATCGCCGTCCTTTTCGCTCTCCATGGAGGGTGCGCCCGTCCCGCCTGACGCGTCAAGGGAACGGTCGCTACGAATGGTTTGTTACCGTTAAATATCCAGGTGTCTTTGGGCTTCACAAGAGGAACAAGAGGAACCAAGAGGAAAGGAGATGAAGTGTGACTCGTAGCTTCGTACATAGAAGGTACATATAGCTGATTCTAGCTATACATACTCTCTCTCTCTCTCTCTCCATCCAGAGCCAGTCACCCCCCCCCAGTTCCACCGAACCGTGGAGCCCCGAGGAAACACAGGCCGTTCCCCGAAAGCCCACCTCAACTCAGCATCCCTGGCGCGCCGGAACCCGGTCGGGTCGCGGCATCGACTGCATTGAACGCGTAAAATCGAACCAGATAGGAGCAAGGGCATGGCTACTAGGAGAAAGGACGCTACGAACGGGGCGGTTCCTGGCCACGCTACGAACGGAGCAAGGGCCTTACTACTATAGGAAGAAGATGTATAAAGGCAACAGTGAATGACCACCAGTTGGTTTTTCTCTTTGCTTCATCGGTGTTTTTCGGTCCTTTAGACTTCAACCATGGAACAACGGTGAAAAGAATGAGGTTAGGGGGACCCATTTCGTGGTACACCGCCTGGTAGACCTCCAATCTGAAGGGAATTCACGAGGATGTCCATCCAATTTCCTCTCCTCCTTTTTCTGATTCGACTCGAAACCCGGGACGAGTGCCTCTGTCGGGATCTGTTGGGCGGCTGTGGCACTCAAAGAAGCTGTGGCTGTATCTTCTTATACTATTAAGTGTTCTCTTATCTTCGTGATGATCCATTTCTGTTTAATGCGTTGCATAGCTTTCGCTGTATGGTATGCGCTATGCTTTCTCTGCTTGGTCTACAGGTCAAGTCTCGACGCATTCACCGACGACGTGGTATGCTGTGGTGATTCACCGACGAGTTGGGCGGCACTTGATGTCGGGTGATTGACTTGGTCGGGCGACTTGACGCAAGCGCGTCAAGAAACGCATGTTGGGGAGAAGAGCTCATCTGTATCTGTCAAGTCTCTGGACGCTTGCGGCAAGATTGTTAGTGACAAAATCTAGGACTGACATACGTCTGTTTCTGCTCGAGGCTTCTCCCTTCGGCTGAAGATCTCTGTTGTTTCCAATTGTTTTCCGATTCTTGATCAAACGCAGCTGGAGCCAGGAAACATCACAAAACCCCTCTGGAACAGAGCTATGGTGGCTGTGGCAGCTAGGGTTTGGAGAGGCAGTTCATCAAAAGGGTGGCCTCACCAAGGACTGTCTGGCCTCTTACCGGCAATTGCTCCTGTTCAAGGAATGTTCAAAGTTCATCCAAGAATCACGACTGATGACATGTCTTTGCGTATTTGCGTCGACCACTTTCAACCGACAGAGTTTGGTCTTCTTCACATCAAGCCTCATCGCTCCACAGGATGTGGTGGCATCTGCATGCATCTGCCACCCTCATCGCCCAGAAGCACAGGCATCTTTTTCCTAAGATGCTATGGTATGCTATGGTCATTGTCCACTCCTCCTCGCTTCCAATCCTCAGCACCCGCACGAGATCTGGAATCAACGAGTGGCTCGTCTAGAACGGCACGAGTGGCACTGGCTCGTCTGCAAGAGTGGAATCGCATCGGTCCAAAAGGGTGGCCCTTTGGGCTTTTCGGGTTGCAGTGTACGAAGCAGATCGACCATGGCGTCGTTTTTTTTGGGTTCTATACAGGTGCGGCAGCTCCTCGCTGGTTGTGTGAAAGTCAAGGTCTTAGGGATCTCTTCGCGCCATGATACAGTAGTATATATGCTTGTACATTACCTAGAACCTGAGTGAGCTCTATTTTGGACCACCAACCACTCTGTAATGTCAAGGTCCTTGGGCTCCAGAAGCCTGAAGAATCCTTCAGCCGAAGTGCAAAAGAGGGGTAAAACGCAAGCAGGCGCAGCGCACTTCACTGAGATGCCTCGCCAACGACGACGGCTCAGACCGTCTGTAGTCGTTGGGCAAGACGGGCTCGAGCCGTCCGCGAATGTTTGGGGCTGGTCGTTGGGCACTTCACAACCCACGTTTTGATGCATGTCGTGCATATGTTCGACGTGCGTGGGCCCGTGCGTTCGCATAGACCGTCAAAACCAAGTATTGGCATCTTGAGAATAGAGTAGATGCCAGTATATAGTTAGACTCACCTCAACTCACAAAGAATAAGCCCCTAATCTTAGCTCGCAACTGTCTTCAGAGATATTCAACATGTTTCAACATGCTCAACCTTTTACACACTTATTCACTGGATTCACTCTGTTTGATCATGTCAACTCACGCGACTGAGGCCGCTAGTACTTTGGAGGGGCAGAGCGGCTTACTGGAGCAGTACTGCGATCAGTCTGGCCTGTGCGGATGAGGGCTCCCGACTCCGGGTGGCGCTCGAAGACCACCAGGCTGTCACTGTCCTGCCAAGCAGAAGCGCTGTTCGTGTTGAGCTGGGCCGGAAATGACCGAGATCGAGATCGGGTAGAGAGAAGACGTGCGGCCCATTCCTTTCAACACATGGTTTCTTGTCTTATAAATTGTTACTTTCTTCCGTTGCATGTGTTTTGCATCTCAAAAACGAGTGGGGACATGTGGGGACCGTAGCCATCTGCTGGCCATGTTCGGTTCAAACCAATCCGTTGCACGTGCGCGACTGAGAAGTCGATGACCACGAGATGATCCGCTAGAGGGAGCCACGCCCCTTCTTGGTGGCCCTCTAAGAATCCGGGGCCATGAAACACTCATCCAATACATATCAGCATGCTCCAGCACCTTCCTGTTAGGGGTCATCGTTGGCTCTTCCAGCCCCCCACACTATACACTGGGGCTTTTTCTCTCCCCACTCGGTCGGTGAGGTCCCAGGCGCCGCTTCACCACGTGTTCACCGTTCCGCGCAGAGAGTTGTGCGCGCTGGATCCGGGGGGAATCCGGTGACGTCGATCCGGGCGGTCGATCCCGGGAGAGAAGAAGCGTTCGCCGCCGTCCTCGTCCGTTCTCTCCTTTCGTTCCGGAGGAACTCTACGTATGTGTGTGTGTGTGTGGCTCCTCCGAACATCCTTCGGCTGGTTTTAGATTGGTGAAAGTGCTGGCAGGTGAACGATTTCGGGCTGTTTTACGTTCTTTTTTACAAAGTGGCAGGTGAACACCAGAACACGGAAGCAGGACCGACCCGCCCTTCCGCCTGGTTGGCAGCGATGAGGTAGCGATCCTCGGCACAAAGAGCCTGGTGGGCGCCCGCAGCAGTTGCGTAGACTGACTCCCAGGACTGAAGGAAAGCTGCCCTTGAGGGTATAGTTCATACACACATGGGTGGGTTCTAATGGGTGGGTGGGTGAAGTTTGAGGGTATGGTGTTACCGGTTTTCTATGGTGTGTTGAGGATGTATATAGCTGAAAAGCACCATTAGCATCCGTTAGCACTTCAAAGTGTGTGAAGTTAGGGGTTACTTTTACAGCTGGGGTCAATGTTGAAAGGAACGCAAACAGACTGGACCAGCATTTCCCCCACCAACATGCGAATAAACACATGTTCTTTGAGACGAACATGACATTTCCCGAGCTCTATGCTGATGAACCACGTGATGAACAACATAGCTCTGGTTTTGCGGTTCGCCACGAAGCCCCGCAAAGTCCGTGCTCCGTGAGCAGAACCGCGCCCAAGCCGACCAGGGCCGACCAGCAGTTCCGCACGGTGCCATCCGAGGAAGTTGGGGTGCTTGGTGCTTCTGTCATATCCTGGATGTCAATATGACAGAAGCAACAAGCACCCCAGAATCCATCCTGGATGTCTCTTAAAAAAACTCCCATCCCCTTTTCCGAACATCCGCCGAAAGGGCCTGGTGTCAATATGCTGATAGTACCGCCTCTTTTTTCTCCCCTCCCGCATCCGTCTCAGCCGCGGCGCGAAATCGCGAGGGCACTCCCTGGGTGGCCAACTCGCCACAGGGTTCACCACTTCGCGGACGGCGGTGGAGAAGTGCTGCGGGCTGCCTTCGGCGATCAACCCCTCCTCCGTCAGCGCAAACACCTCGTGAGCTGCGGAGCGCGCAGCTCAGCCGGTGGCATGGTTGGCGGGTTCGTTCCGACATGAGCAGCGAAGCGTTATCATGGATATGCTTCTCACTCTCTATACACAGAAAGATCACCTGTGAAGATCTATTTACCAAGCTGATCATTGTCCAAGCTCATCAGGGCCGGCACCGAGAAGACCCATGTCCAAGTTCCAAGCGTCGTTCCTTAAATTCTTCGGTCGCTGCCAAGGATCGGAAATGGAGTCGTGCCCTCGGTTGGAGGCATAGAGAAACTTGCCATCACCTGCCAGTGTGGCGTCGATGGACTCCCTCTCACTCCCTCTCACTCGCGGTCATCGCAGCACGGCCACGTGCCACAGCCGTGGCACAGCCAGTACTGCTGCGATTGCTTCGTCCAAAGCTCGAGCAATAGATATATGTGGCGTAGTTATGTGTTGTTGGCACAAGAACACCTAGCCACTGGGTTTCTCACCAGCCCGACAACGACCCTCCAGCCATGGCGGTTTTTTTTCCGGTGCTCTTGGAGGATTTTGAGGAAGGTGATGGAAGGTAGCTCATCAGCTAGTGGTCCAACTGGTGTAAAAGATACCTTAAGAACCTTAAGTTGCATGGCCTTCCCCTTCTCGAACACAGCCCCTCAGCCCCTGAACCTCTCAGTCCCGGTGTCACCGTACCTATAGACCCGGCGCGCACCGCGCGCAACCGCACAGCGTTCGCCGCTCGTTCCGCACCGCCTGAGATGCGGATGGCCGCAGGGAAGGTCTGACCCTGCACACCCACCGGCGCGCCCGGCACAGTGGGCCTCGCTTCCGTGGGCGTCAGCTCACCGGAAGCCGCGTCGTAGTGACAGGCCATGACCTCTTCGTGTGAGGCGTGGAGGCGTGGAGGGGAGGGAAGGAGTCGGTTTCTTGGGGTGAGAAGGAAGTCACACCTAGCCTATACCCCACGCACCAAGCGCTACTTATTGCAACTCTTCCTCTCCACCACCCAAAGTGAATTGACTGAACTTCGTGCACGTCACTGTGGAGAGCAGCTCATTCAGCACGTAGACCACGTTGAGTTCCGGGTGAAACGCCAAATGCCGAGGCCCGGATCCCGGCGCCAAGGGCAGATGCTTCACCAAGTCCCTCCGCACGGGGGCTCTACGCTCAAGCAACACGACAACTGCGTGCTCAGCACTTGGTGCTGTCCATATCACTGTTTGACCTGGAAAAACGGAAGAACAGTTAAAACGGAAGGCCATGAATAGAGGCATCTATAGACTTCTTTTGTTCATTCATGGAGTTGCATCAAGATGTGCTGGATTTCCGGTTTCAAGTGCGAAGCTCTTGTGATGTTCAACGATTCCCTGAAATGAACGAAAGAACACCGTGTCCAATGTCAAGCCCTTGGACAAATACCGGAGAAACATCCACGAAGCACCAAGCCATCTCTTTCGTTCCGTGTCTAAACAAACACCGTCCATCCCTGCTCAACGTCCAGTTCCACGTGTTCTGCGGGTGACATGGAGCCGTGGTCCAGCTTGTAGACCATCACTCGATCCAGTCCAAGATCTGGTACCTGGATCGCGCGACCGCGAAAGTGAAAGAGAGGGAAGAACATGTCTATAGCTCCCTTTTCCGGGAAAATGGAAGTGGTTAAGTTATGTGTCTGCATTCTGGTGATCAGCCAAACCTGCTTTCAAGTCTTTGAGCTCTCCGAATCGTTTCATGCTTTAAACTTTAATCACGGTTCTATCATGTTCTATCTGCTTTGTCTCTTCAACTCCTTCACCCTTCTCCGCAAATAGAACACCACGTCGCGTGAAGCCCGCCCACCAACTCGCAGCTTAGCTGCGAGGAGGTGCTGATTGGGCCCATCGAAGTGCACCATGTGCGGATGAGGACCCTCTTGTCTTTCTTTGTTCACGCCCACTCCCAAGCTCTCCTCAGTGGCGAGTCGGCGATGCGAGTAAGGGCCAGTGCAGCTGGGCGAACCAAAGGGGCGGGTTGGACACTTGCTCTCCTCCAAAGAGCTTTCGTCTTGGATTCAATCGGATGATTCACAAATGTGATGCATGGCCAATGTCAACTCTTTCCACCAAAAATCCCGAAGCTTTGGGAGCAAGTAAATGCCAGTACAAGCACTATTGTGGCTATTTGGGGGGGTCTGCGACATGTATTTTGGGGCTCACAACCCCAAGAAGACACCTCCAACCTCCCAGCTCGTCTTTGACCAAAGGTCGGACACCTGCACCTGGAGGCACGTCGAGATTCGCCCCTCAACGGTGAGCTGAAAGAGGGCCACCTCACCGTCGCCCGCTTTCAGGCGGAGACGTCGCACGTGCGACGGAGGGTTTCGGCAACCCCACACAACCTGTCTGGGACTGGAAGATATGCCGATCGACCCAAAGAGAGCACCCCAATGGGCAAAGATGGCAGACATGCAGTGTTTCGGATGGTTTTTTTGCTTTACTGCATGTGCAGGCATTGAGATATCCGAAAACACCACACACAAGGAACTCAAGATATGCTTACGGTTGACGGTTGTAAGTTGTTAAACTTATAGTTAATGATGCAAGAATTGAATGACGCAGCATGTCTTGCACCTGTGCTTTTTGTTGGAGTTCCAATCAAGCGCGCTGTGATATGACAAATTAACGGTCCTCTATAAGTGTACGTGTGGGATGCCTAAATTGGTAGATGGACACCCCTTGGCCTTCAGCAATTCCAGCAACGACCTCTCTCAATGGGAAAACATCTGGAGCACACGTGGAACTGCACCTGACCTACGAACGTGAACCAATGCTTTGGAACAAGATTTGCTGGAGGATATTGACTAAGCAAACCATGCCATCAGCACAGACTCTGACTTAAAGTTCATCCGATTGACAACTACATTGCCACCCCCTATGTAGAGCTGACGGACCCTTCTTGGTGCGAGCGGACGCACGCATTGGCTTAGAAAGGCCCTCATGTGAGGCTCCAAGTGATTCACATTGGCTGAGAAAGCAGGTACACCATGCCGACCATGCTAGAGGTCCCTTCTTTGGGTGCTCCGAATGAAGTGTTTTTAACTTGCTGGGGCAAGCTGCAGAGCCGCCATAGTTGGCCACTGCCAGCATGCGCTCATTTCCTCGGACAAGGCGGTTTTGAGGTGAAGCTCTCCCTGCTCAGGGTGGTCGTTTCAGGTGATCACTCAGCGCGGCCATAACGGTTATGGCCATGGTGATTTGCTGTGATTGGTGTGTGTTTTGCTTTTCGGTTGCTGAATGGACCCTAGAGCTCTCCAAGAATCGGAGCATGTCATAGGATCTCCAATCATTTGCAACTTGAGAAAAAGGATGTCCTACTGAACAACCAACACGGTCAGCATGGTCAACATGTCCCCTTTTCCGCCACCGGAAGAAAGAGCCGATGCGACATCTGTTTGAAAGACTCAACAAAGAATGGGCCCCCAAATGATGTTCATCCCAACTCCAACTCGCAACCAAAACCACGAGCTGCTTCCACTCCTTCGCTAGTAGGTTGGAGGCCGTTGCTATTAGGTTGAAGGCCATTGCTTCTGGGTTCTTCTTTTCGTTTAATAACAAACTTTCCATTTTTTTACTCCTACAGCTCGGCCCAGCCAGGTCTTAGACATACAACGAGCCTCTGGTAAGGGAGACGTGGCACGCGATGCTGCCACCAGTGGCAACGCTGTTCAGCAGTTTGAGCTCTCCCTTCTTGGCCTCGGCGGGTTGGTGCGGCGCCCCGAACGCCACGCCACGAACCACCGACGACGCGACGACACCGGGGTCCATTCGAGTGAAAGCCAAGGCCAACCGCCAAAAATCATCTGATGCGACCGAGGGAACTGTTCAGGGAACTGTTGGAACCTGCGCAAACGAGACGTCCGACGCCCGACCCACTGGCCCCACTGCTACACCGGCCTCCACTCCTTTTTGCCTTCCGGCCGTCCGGTGTCCCGTCCCGCTGGGCCGAAGGGTCGTGCCGGTGGGCCGAAGGGTCCCAGTGGCATCGAAGGCATAGGCAGACACCGTGCTCTCTTCCAGCACCTGCCGGCGCGAAGCCGGGAACGTCGTTTTGGTCGGACGAGACGAACGGCGACGAAGGGGGGGGGAGAGGTCGGGTCACCTGGTAGTCCGTTACGTCCACGAGACCAAAGACTGTAATGTCAAAAAGGGCAAGTATATGAGATAGATGCATAACATACATGCCATATGCTCAGAAGTGTTGCTTCGTCTTTGCAATGTTGGTGTCCTCATTTGCCACCATCTTATGCTGCTAAAAAAACAAACAAAAGACTCAAGACATGTTCTTTGGAAGTGGAAAATGCGTTGGAATTCCGGCCTGTTCCACTTCCATGTTCTCAAAATATCTCAAAATATAGTTTGCTATTAGCTTGGAGGCCATGGCAAGTAGGTTTGAGACCATTGCCAGTATAGAAACAAAGACAAAGGAAGAAAGGCAGAAAGGTACTTTGGGAGTCCGGCCGTTTCCACTTCCAAGTGTACTTATAGTATCAGAAATCCTTTGCTCTTTACTTCGCTGCTGCTCTGTCGAGCACAGCAAGCTGCTTCGGGCGGCTTCTTTGCGCCCGCGGTCGCGACGTCTGACTCACCCTGCGAAGCAGGTCTCTCTACCAGGGGTGGTCCCCAGTTGCTTAGTTCAATCAACAGTTTCAGCATTCTGGAACGAACATGAAAACGTGACTTTCTCTCACGGGGCTTCACCCGAAATCATTATGCCTCATCAGCAAGCTGCTCAGCCGAAGTCCAGGCGCCCAACTTATGCAACACCAAGCCATCTTTCCGCACATCCTCCCGAGTGCCACTCGTTACAATGGCCACATAGGTCTTGGATTTTTCCGGAGTAAAGGCTAGCTTCAATTGTTTTGAGCCATCCACTAAGGTCAAGCTCATGTCTTCCACTCGTTCTAGTCGATAGCTCTTGTCCATCGGCAAGACCTTCACCATCGGCCCACGTTGAACCGACAACGTGCTACGTCGATCGGGGAAGCGGCGGGCATCGATCAAGTGCAAGAAATAGGCTGAGTGGTCGGTGACTTCGACACGGTTCCTTGGAAGAAACCGAGTGGTTGCAGAAAAAGATACCAGCACCTTCATGTCAGAACCACCTAACTAAAAGCCCCTACACTACTAAGGGACCTCCAGACGGGACACCCCGAAAGAAGGTCCAGGTATTATGTTAGCATCGGTTTTTAGCATACTCAAAAAGGGGGAGGAATCCCGATGCACTGAATGGGAATCCATCATAAAATCCAACGGATCGCTAGCTACTCTGTGGAGCGCTACCAACAATCAGCCACCAACAAGGAACTGAAGAAATCATTCACCCGCTGCAAGACCAAGCTTCTGATGCACGCGTGCCTTGTCTGGATCATCGGACGGGGCCACAGTGAGTTCGATGCCGGACTGTGACAATTCACCCAGGTCGGCTCGTGCAAGCTCTTTAGAGCCCAGCATGAAAGTGACGCTGGAGGAGGAGACTTCTTCGAAATCGTGGCAACTGGGAAAATCCAAGCTGATGGCTTTGGAGTTCTCCAGAAGAACCTTCAGCCTTCGTCCAAAGGCATTGCACACCGACATACGAGGCAGAGGAATGGACGCATCGTCCTCCGCTCTCTCAACTTTGGACGCATCGACCCGACGAAGAGCGCCATTGGGCAACTTCACCACGTAGTGATGCTTGGCCTGAGAGCGACGCTACGAACGGAGCAGCAACGGGCATCGCGACGAACGGAGCGATCGGACGCTACGAACGGGGCTCCTGGCCTTACTGCTAGGAACAAGAAGCTACTAGGCGCACGTGGGGGAGGTAGAGGACACTACTAGGAACAAAGACTTTCAGGAATCTAAGAGCGATGGCCTCCAACCTACTAGCGATGGCCTCCAACCTAGAATCGATGGCCTCCAACCGACTAGCGATGGCCTCCATCCTACTATAGCATTGGCCGGCCTCTTTATAGCCCAAGATCCGCACGACCTTGCCGTTCATGGCCACGTTCCGCAAGTTCACCAACTTGCCATGGGAACCCGGCCGAAGGACTTGGCCCCGTGAGTCATCAGCCACAGCTTCCACACTGGCCGAAGGACCGTCATCACTTTCGCTTTCAGCCAAACTCAGATGCTCCGCTTTGATGGCTCGCAGGGGACCAGTGGCGACTCCGCCCAGGTCGTCGTCAACGAGTTGCACCACATAGCGCTCGGTCTGCGGGTTGAAGCAACGCACCAGGACCTTACGGTCGTTCATGGAGGCTGCTGTGGTCAGGCCGTGAACCCACACTTCAGCGCCGGGCGCTAGCTCTTTAGGCCCCTGGGGCAGCTCCTGGGGCTGGTCGAATTCATGTTCTCCACATGGAGATGGGACAGCTGGAGATGGGCGGCTCCTTCTCGTCCGGTCAGGTTCCAGGTGCTCCGGCCTCACCTTCTTGTAGAGATGCGAGTCTACGAGCCGCACCACGTAGCGGTCAGCATCCATGCCCTCCACGATGGCCTCTTGACCATTGAGTTCCACTGAATGGCTTAAGCCATGTAAAAGCACCCAGCTACCACGGGCGATCTCCGCCCTCGGTGGACCTCCCACCAGCAAACCTTCAGACCGAAGGGCCACCAGTCCGAGGCAAAGCTGAGCGAACCTCATTGGGAGCGGTGTTTTGGGTCCACCACCGCAGACGACGAGGAGGTGCTCCTCTCCTCGTTCGTCCGCATGGGTGGGCCGCCTATGGTTTTTTGTTTGGAGCCACAAAGGAAAGGAATCACGGCGACGTTGGACCACCGGGTGCTTTTGGGATGGTTGTTGGCCAAGGAATTGGAGTCCGCCGTAAAGGAAATTCCACTCTGCAACACCGAACTTCCACAGAAAACAAACACGTACTTGATTGAAAAGATACATGTCACACATGAAACCCGTAACATCCGTAACCAATCCACATGACTCAGTCATCTGCTCAGCCCACAGGGCACGCATCAACGCCTCCGAGACGGCATAGACCCGAGTGCGTGCGGCGTTGCAGCACCTGACAGGTCGGTTGGAGGATTTGGGAAAGGAAATGGTTCAAACCAGCTTGTTTTCAGTGCTCATCCCACTCATTTCGCAAAGGAAATGGTTCAACGTTCCACATTTCGATGGTTTTTGTTCCACTCCTCATGTTTTGGTCTCTCTGCGTGCTTTCATCAGCCAACGTCATGGGTGGTTCATGGACCAACTGTCCAGTCACTGCAGTCCCAGCAGCATGTAGGTTGGGCAAGGGAAGTCAGAGCAGCCTGGGCGTGGCCGAAAGACGAGGGGGGAGGGTCACATCATCCTTTCTTGTCGTGTCGGATGCAGTCCAGAAGATATCAGGACCATCCGACCATCTGGGTGTCCTGGTGTGTGCGATCCCGGATAGTGTTGGGCTTGGTACTCCAGAAAGACCCAGAT